AAATCCAAATTTACATCAAGCCACATCAACACTATGGTTAGGAGTACAGTCTGTTTCTGTACCATGCCCACTGTTCTTCTTCCAGTATTACCACCACCATCCCTCAGCACGGAAGAGGCATCAGCAAACTGTGTTAGGCAATGGAGGCAAATTGCAACAAGGGAAATTACAGTTGAATATGAGGAAAAAAAACATTCACTGTAAGAGTGGTTAAATCCAGAGAGGCTGTGAATTCTCCATCTCTGAGATATTCAAAGGTTGGCCAAACAAAGCCCTGAGCAATCTGATACAGTTTTGAAGTTGGCCACGCTTTGGGCAGGGAGGTGATATAGATGAGCTGCATAGATTCCTTCCAGCTTGAATTGTTCTGTGATTCTATTGTAATAGAAAAGAAAAAAAAAAGTTTTTTCTCTTTTGTGCAAATGCCTGGTAGACCTGGATTTAAAAGCAGCTGTCAAAAATAGTTTTGACTGTTGTAATAGTAGTATTCTAGAACCCATCATCAGAATAAGGAAGTTATTTTTCTGTTATTTCAGGGAAAGTTAGTCTTGATCACAAATCAGGTGTGCCTAAAATCCAGTGCATGTTTTCAGGAATCTCTTTCCACAGTTGAAATGGCTTTCCAGAATGTATTCAGTTAGGTTCCTAAATCTAAATTCTCAGCTCTTCATAGCTCATGATAAAGTCCCAAGACAAAAGAGACTAGCTATAGAAATAGTAACCCATTATTCTTTCCATTCATGTATCAGAACTGAAAAAATTTATGCCAACACACCCAAAAATAGTAGAATTAAAAACACATTACACTGTCAAACAAAGTAAAGAAGCTGGTGCACACAAGTGATTTTTTCAATCATTGGTTTTATTTACTAGCAACTCTCACAATTGTATTAATTTCATTGTATGTGGTTATTGCAAAATTTTTAAGCAGGAGTATAACTTATCCTTAAAAAAAAAAAAAAAAAGGCAACAACTTAAGGACTCCAGAAGGCCTAAATACATAGATGGAGACATTGACACCTTTGGCTAGTTTTAGGATTACTCTGTCCTTATTAATAATATGTGTGTGTATGTGTGAGGCGTAAGTAAATTATGGCAGTATGTACCTGTAAGTACCTGCATCTCTGCTAGTAAGACAAATATCCTACCAAGAGGAACATTGAAGAGACAAGCAAGTGAACTTTGTGTAGGATTAATATTTCATGGGCATCATCAGATACCTCACAAATATGTGTCCATGCTTGCTCCTTTGGTTTTGTAGCCTGGCTTGTTGGCTTGTGCTGAATGAGTTTCTGACCAGCCTGTATTTCTGACGCAATCAGACCATCAGCACAGTAATTATTTTGTGATTTTCCTTGTATTTTTGTTTCTTCCTCAGTGCCTGAATATAAATGCCAACTCACTTAAAAATGCTTTGCTAAGTGATTGCCTCAGGTGTTTTAATTCAGGACAAACTTAGAGATATCTCTCAGAAGTTGTTTATCTGGCAGGTGTGTTTGTTTGAACCTAAGGGAAGGAGAAAGGCCTCACTGCCTCAAGGACTCCTGTTTTGACTGTTGCTCTATACCACACATATTTTATTATGATCTGAGCTTGTTATCATTGACACCAAGTGCCCTGCACAACAGCCTAGTTTCTGGTGATTGCCATGTTTTTCTTTTTCCAGTTATTCAGCTAATTTAAATTGGTTGGTCACAAATACCAGAATCATTGTTGCTGTTGCCCGTGTTGGTGGAGTTATCCTCCACAGGACAGTAAAGATTGTTTCTGCTGACTTTCCTCAGAGCAAAAGTTGTGTTTTGTGAGCTACCATGAGAACAAATCTGTCCTCCAGCCCCTTCCTGTTTCAGTTTTAGAGTTTTATTGACCTCTACCACCTTATTTTCCCACCCCTTCCTCCCTCTCTTCCATGCAGACACACACACCAGCAAAGAGCCCTCTATCCACCAGCATCCTGAGGACATGCATGAGGGGTTTTGAGCTGGAGAGAAGGCCCTGATGTCTCATTGGGACACTCTGCTGGCTCAGGGCACCACTCCCCCCTTCCTTTGGACTCTTTCACTTCATCGTAAAGGTTTTGAGGGTTTTCTGGTTAGTCTTTCTAATTGCCCAAGATAGCTCTCTGAATTATTTTTAATGCATGGCATTTTGAACTGAATTTCACTTGGTGATTTATGCAAAATTTAGATTTCACAGTAAATTCAGAGGTCTTGGAAATGTGCCAAATCAACCGAAATTTAGAAGGATCCCAGAAAATACATGTTACTTTTGTTGCAGTCCATTTCAGTTCTTCTTCTGTATCACTGAAATGAGTTGTATTTAGCTACATGCAGCCAGTTCCTTCAAGAGAGAGAGCCTTGGGTGGTTTTATTATCAAACAAAAAAAAAAAATTGGCAGAAACTTGCATTCTTAACATAGCCAAATATTTTGTACTCAAAGTATTGTCCTCCTTCAAAACACTTATGCATAGCATAACAAAATTACAGATTCCAAGACCCTTTTCATTTCAATTTTAATTTAATTTAGAGTTTGCATGCCTAATAGTATTTTTAATACAGATTTCTGGAATTTGTGGTTTGAACTTTAGTCTTCTGAAAAATAATAAGTTTTATATAGGCACCATGTGTTTGGATCTAGGTTTATTTTGACTGAAGGAAATGATTTGTCAAGACTTTTTCTCTTTAGCATTGCCCTGATAGCTCATGTTTTCTGATTAATGTTCCTATACTGGGAGTTCTTTCAGTGTGCCCAGTCTTTTGCATGCATGTTTATTATAAGTTGGTTGTCGCGAGGAAAGACATGAGGAATCACAGAATCACAGAATGTTCTGGGTTGAAAGGGACCCACAAAGATCATCAAGTCCAACTCCTGTCCCTGCATAGGATGATCCTCAAAAGTCACACCATGTGCCTGAGAGTGTCGTCCTTGAACTCTGTCAGGCTTGGTGCTGTGACTGCTTCCCTGGGGAGCCTGTTCCAGTGTCCAACCACCCTTTGGTCTTTTTTTAATATCTAACCTTAACCCTGACACAACTTCATGCCATAAAGAAATATTTGAGTTCTTTGAATGACCCTTCATTCAAAGTAATTCAGAAGATTCATGAGATGGAGTGGAGCTGTTTGCTCTTGTGACAGGGTTCAGAAAAGCAAGAACCATGAAAAGGAAAAAAATAGTATACTGTATTGCCTGAAAGTGCTGTAGCAGAGTGCTTTGTCAACTTTTATCCTTGTCATCTTTGTGAGCAGTTATTTCTTTAACTTTGCATCAGTGCCTTCAGTGATTATGGCATGAAATACTTCAGTATTTTATCAAGTAGTAGTTCTATTTGCCCTGATTTGTAAGTAAATATTTAGGTCTTACACTCTGCATGTAGTTTGTAGTAAAAACTGACTTTTTTTCATTTGAGGTTGACAATATGTTGAGTGCAGATAGTAAGAAGTGAGAAGTCTGATGTGGGAAAGGGCATAAAGGAAGTCTTTGTAAGCTCTGGTGTATCCATTAAACTGGTCTATTGGTGTAAATGCAAAATTGCTGAGTCTTGCACTAGAGTTTCAGGACACCCTGCAATTGTAGTATATATGCTACCTGTGCCATCAGCTCAATGAAGATGGCTGATGAAGTGGGTGGAAGTAAGAGAATAAACACCCATCACACAAATACTCATCTCACTAATGTCTATCTGAGACTTTTTTTACTGGTTTCAAACTCCCAGGAATTCAAGAACTCTTTGTCTGGGGAACAGCATTGAACAGGGAGTCCTGTGTAATCAAAGTCAGCTAGCCTGGAGAGAGAGCATGCCACCTCTCTGTGCTGGATTCAAAGGGAAGAGTCCTTGCTGAAGGTTGACAGGCAGAAAGTCTGACAGACCCGCAGAATGAAAAACTGCCCAAAGACTAAATATAGGAAAGACAAAATAAGGAAAAGAAGGAGAGCTATACACTCAGGAGCTGGAGCCACAAGGATCAAAGGTATCTGCTGTGGTGGTGAAAGGAAAGGAACCGCGCTGCACCCGAACACAGGCTGATGATCACTGTCTTTCTGCAGAATGAATGCTGTTAAAAACCTATGCTCATGGAGGGACAGAAATGTGGAGATCTAAAAAGAAATTACACTGTTCTGTTACTTTCAGAGCCAAACATTTGGGTGATGTGATGAGGAATTGCATGGGCTCTGTTGCAATCACCTCCAAAGAGTGGAGCAAGGCATTGTCAGGGCAACATGTTTTCTCAAGAAAGAAAGAGTTTGCTAGGAAACAGCAAAGTCATCTAACTTCTAGAAGTGGTTAAGAGGAAACTGATGTAAAGCATCACCTTCACATTTAAAATTAAAATACAGTTTTATAAAGTCTTAACTGAAGTGGAATGTTTGTACCATTTTAAAGATAAACGGGGAAAAATTAAAAAAGTATTTTCTTTGAAGTAAATTTTCTCTGTATTAGTTATGAGGCAGTTATAGAAGTATTGAAAATTCTGAAATGAAACAAGCTAGAAACTGATTTTATACTGTAATGGACCTGATTTATTTTTATTGGATAAACTGTAAAAGATTATTCGCTGCACTGGTAGAAACACATTGCATAAATTTTTTTCCCTTGCTGACCTCAACCTGGGATTCTAGCATGTTTAGGCTGGACTCCTTGCTTCTACTGGGTAGTAATTTACCCCTCATTCCTTAAAGTCTCATGCATACATGTATCCAAAATATACACGTACCACCCAAGTACTCTCCTCCCACTCTGGGCAAGGAAGGAAAGTAAAGTCGAAGGAATGGAGGGAGCAGCCCTCAGACTTCATAAGAAATTTGCCTGGGTTTCAGTGGAGTCCATGGAGACTTGATTTCCCTGGAAACAGTTAATTAGCTTTAACTGGACATCATCCCCACTGATTTCCCTTTCAGCTGCTACAGAAACCAGCATTCCATGAATATTTCTTTCTGAGCTTCCTCTTTGGTCTTCCTCTAGCAGCTCAGGCAGCCAATCACTGACAGTCTATAGATTTGGACCTGGATGGAGCAACTACACATAATGATTTCCTTAATTTTACAGGTGAATCGTCCTCACCCTGGTGATCATCCTCTTCTGATCATCTTTATGGTTGGTGGAGTGTCGGTCTCTGAGGTCAAAATGGTGAAGGATTTGGTAGCAACACGCAAACCTGGTACCCAGGTAAAAATAGCTCTAAACACACAGTTCTTCTCTAAATGAAACATAAGAAAATTCATCAAATCATGTTCCTTATAACACTGGTACCAAACCTTCAGAAAGCCACTACCACGTGGACAGAAATGATGTTAGGGTTTTGCTGTGAAACATCTGTAGGCAACAAGTGTTCAGACACCATTGGTCTGGTATTTTACATACTATAGACTCTGCATCCCTTGAATGTGCTGTTGGAAGGAGGATGGCTCCCACAGTGAAACTTCAATAGCATCCATGTGGCTGGTCTTTGCCTTGTCCACTCTCTGGCAGCAGAACTTGACTACAATAGCTGTCATCTGAATGGAGAAGCGAGGGAGAAGAGGAGGAGGATGGATGAGCTCTGGTGGCACCAATAGTTTTGGAGGACCGCTCAGCTGTCTGTTGAGTACTGCAGATACAAAGGGTGATATAAAAACTCCAAAGTGCTGTGTAACCAGATGCATCATAAACATAACCCTAGTTTCCAGGGTGGCTTGTGAATATCTTATTTTCAATTCCTTTGTAATGTAGTTTTGATTAGAGAGAAATCAGTAGCAAAATGGAGCCAACCAAAGACAGAGCAGCCCCTCAGTAGGACATGCATTTTCCATGTTTTAGTTATCTTTGCAAACCAGTCTCAAGCAGTATTTTGTAAGATGGAGTACCATTTTTAGTGATTTTTTTTTTTATGTGATAACACATTTCTCCCCCTTTAGCCTATTGCTAATTTCCTCAAAACAGTGAATTTATTTCTTTCCCTCTTGGAGAGGAATTGAGTTGTGACACACTGATGGACAAGTTAATCCACACACAAAATGTATTAAGACACCCTGAAAGATAAACAGAGGGTTAACATCTGAGTTGGTTGAGAACTATGCAGGGGATTTTCAGCTGGCTTTCTGAAGGGACTTGAGGCTTGACAGTGGTGACATTGGATCTGGTGTTGCTTTGCTTTGGCTTAACCCTGGCGGCAGGTCACACTCTGAGGCAGATTCCTAAAGCATTTTAAGCTTTTACTGCATCTTGCCCTTTGTGCAAATGTGCTGTGTTAGAGGTGAAAGGACTTTGGGGGAGAGGCAGGAGGAGGAAGAGAAAGAAGAAAAGAAGCAGTTGTGCAAGTCTCTCACATAAAAAAAGTTTGTAAGTTTGTTGGATTTACCTGGATTTCTGCACTATAGCTGTGAATATGCACCACCTGTTTAGGATTATTCCCTTTTCAAGAAACCAGGCATTTATCTAACTTAAGCCAGGGTTTAACAGAGGTTTTTTGTGTTGTTTGGGCAATCAGGTTGAGGCATCAGGGGAGCACTGGCCTTCCAAGTCCCTTCCAGTCAAACAAAGCATAACATTTGTACTCATATTGGCTCTTGGAAAAATGGAGAATTGTGAGAGTGCAAAAATCAAGGAAAGTAACTGAATAAAAACTGTCAAGGTGCACTGATTACTTCATCAATTGTTTGGAATTGAGGCAACTGACATTTAAATGTGGAAAAGGACACGTTTCCATCCACAGAACTGCTTCTGCATCTGCCTGAATATAAATGACAATTTTATTTCTCATGGAGAAGCACAAAGGAATACATTGTTTGTTTTTGGATGGTGGTAAATAGCTCCCCATACCTAGTGAGAAGTACCTTACTTTCAAAGGAAGAAATTGCTTCTCTTCTTCTGCTTTAATCAAGAGAGTAATGAAAAAAGAGCATGAGAGAAAGTTTCACTCTCCCTTCTCCCAACAGGCACAACCATCTATGTGATTGTGGCTAAGGCAGGCAGATGGATAAACCCCTCCAGATGCAGCAGCAGATGTTAGCTGCATCCTTCCCTGCCCTCTGCCGGGGGGAAAATGTCCATTGGAGCTCAGTGGGTCAGGGTGGGAGCTCCTGGCTCTTCCACCTTGCCTGCCACCAGGAGGGGTAGCCCTTCAGGTAAAGGATGAAAGACAGACCCGCTATACAGAACAAGGAGGTCTGCAAAGGACTGTTCTGAAGAGAGCTGCCTGGAGAAGAGGTGGACATTAGTTATTGGGGCAATTCCCTTCTTCTCTTTAAAAATGAAAGAACAATCATTCACCATTTATCCCCCTCAATGAGCCCTCAGAGGTACTGTGGGGAAAGGAGGGAAGTCCTGCTGTATTTGGCAGCATCCTTTCTGAGAGTTAAAGTTGCAGATCCCTTTTTTTCTCTCTGGGCTTGCTTTTAGTTGCCCCAGTCCCCTCAGGGTTCAGTGGTAGGACTCCAAGAAGAAATTGCTTTTATCTGTCAGTGGCTATTGTTGATGTTTGGCTTGTACACTCAAAAAACTTTGGTAACGTGTCACTTCATGCTTTTCAGAGTTAAGCTGCATGATAACAAGATGAGCACATACTGTGCTGTAGTCTAATTCTCATGTAATTTAAATAAGACAGTGTCAGCCTTTGGCATCTGCAAGTTACAGAGAGTTTTTCAGGCATAGGAAGGAAGAGATAATCAGTGTCAGTTTGCTGCAGATTGTGTGGGAGGACAAGGGAAGAGGAGAAGTGAGGGGAAGACTATAACCAGTACAGAAGGGATCCTTTCACTATCTGAAGTGAAAAGATGAAAGAAATAACAATAAAAAAAGTTGAACTGTAGCATTACCACACACTTAAGCCATGTGATGGACAGCACAAGTGCTTTCATAACTACTACAGTAGACGGACACACAGACATACTCCATTGTTGATGTTTGTGCTTCCTGTCCTTGGATTTGCACTGAAGAAGCAAATTCATTTTCAAGTAGGCTAATATGATTAAATCTGCCCCCCACATCCCTGTCTCCAGTCCTGACCCTATGGACTGTAAGAGCAGTGTCCTATGACTTTGACCCTGGGTTAGCTCCACACAGCAAGAACGCATGCACTCGCTCCTTGCCGATAGCTTTGCCCTGCAGAGAAGCCTTCAACCTAGGAAATGATATACTAATTTTCACTTACGGAAAACAGATACCTGCATTTAGTAGGTTGCATATCATGGCTGTTGTGAGAGATGGCTCCTTTCATCAGACCCATCTGGTATTAAAAACTGGAAAAAACAAAAGCAATAGCATCTGACAGTGCTTGGGGTTGAGCCTGATATGCAGGACATCATATGCCTGGTCTGAAGAGGCATTTCTAAGAAGGGACTGTGGCTCCCTGCAGCAGGCTGGCAGCATTTCTGTGGTGCTCATCTTACGTTCAACTGAGAAGGAACAGGTATCACTCAGATCTGTGCTAAAGGAGAGGAAACCGCTGTTTCATCAGCCGGTGCCTCACAGTAAATGCAGTGGCAGTCACAACAAATCACTGGGTAAGATGTGGGTAGAAACATGTCAAAGCACACATTCATTAAGAGTACAATGCTACCAGTCATTATGCTCCTTAAAGTGATTTAACTACAGTTATTAGAGGGCAGACAGTTTCGCTGGACAAGTTGTATTGCCCTGTCAGTAAACACCAGAAACACACAGTCTTGTCTAGAGCTGGGTGAAGCAAACAGTTCATTTCCACGGCTCATTAGCACTGTCTCAGTCCCCTTCAATCTGACTTGTTTCTTGTTCCCCTTCTTTCAGGTAATCGTGCTCTCCTCTGCACTCCTGACACCACATAGTGCTGTTGAGTTGTTGTTTGCCCCAGACCATCTCCAGCCCGACACTGATATCTGACAGGGGAGGATCTGTGGAGAAGATGAGTGCCTAACCCAGAAACATCCAATCCCTGGTCTGTCACTCTTCTCGGTAGCCCTCCAAAAACTGACGTGTCACCTGCTGCAGGTGAAGCAGCTGGGTATCTGGCTGCTGGGTATCTGGCTGCATGTGCAGCTCATGGGCAGCTCTTCAAAATGGTCCAGTTGTCCAGCAAGAAGCCCCCCCCTCCTTAACAATAGCACTATGCAGTTTGAATCACTCCCAGCCCCATTTGACAGTGGGGAGAGTGATTGTCATAATTCCCTAGAAAAGAAGCGGCTGAGAACCAGGTGATTCTGAATTTTCCTTCCCCAACAAGCAGTACTTTTTTCTCTGAGAATTCCTGATGATTTTGCTGGGGTTGTGTTTGGCGGGAAATGCTGCTAAGGGAGTGAAAAGCCAGCAAAATCCACCCTTTGTCATGCTACCTTGAAAAATATGTGTGCCTTATACAATGTGAAAAGCCTCTGCTCTTACTTCATCCCTCACTGCAGAGAGATCATGGAGCACAGCCCTGTCTTAGCTGGCAGGGCAGCTCCCAGTCCAGTGATGCTCTCCTGGCAGGACTGGTAGAGGCAGGGAAGCGGAGAACCAGACTCAAGGGCTGGGTTACATGGCTTCTCTCTCAGCTTTCTGTTTCCTGCTCTAGTTTCTCCACCCACAGTCCCAAGAGAAAAGATTGTTTCTGATGGCACACATATCTAGATTTACGCAGGAGGGCATATGGGCTGTGTTGGTTTGATGATAACCCTGGAAGAATCCTCCCCTCACATGCATTTAAAAAAAAGAGAGAAAAAAAAAGGCATGGTCCCATTTTCAAGAGGCCACAGCACAGATCCATTCTTGAGCTAGATTTCTGAACAGCGTGATTAGAGAACTGCTTTTATTTTATGTTCACAAAAGAGCTGCAGTCAAATTCAGTTATGTAATTTTTCTTTATAAAACTTTGCTACGATCTCTGATAACAAAGCAGCCAATAGAAATTGTAGTTGCATATAGCACTAAGATTTACAAATTGCAGCATAAAATGGTGGAGCTCTAAAGCTGCATCCTTTTTCTTCATTTAAGGAATGCTATGACTACAGCTTACAATGAGATGAGAATGTGAAATTATAAGTGGCATTCACTCTATCATAGCATTCTTTATTATGCCAAAGAGTAGTTTAAATGGGAAGTAGCTTTTTTTACATTTTGTTCACTAGCTAGCATTAGTTCTCCTAATGTTTATAATGGTCTTCAGAAAAGGGTGCATTTTGGTTTAAGTTCACTTTTGAGTGGCTGGAAGGAAACAATGGACCAATTATAAAGCATGGACAATGTCGCCTCTATGGAAGAGAAATTTATAAGGATGACTATAGAATAGAACTTTGTGCTATAAAAAATGAGAAATGTTATGTGATTGCAATATTAAAATCTCAAGGAATAGTTTGAACAGAGCAACTGGAAAGCAAATAGCCAGTCTCTTGGTTTCTTTTCTGTCATTCTGTACTGTTTAATCTTAGAATATGGTTGTTTTGCAGATTCTGTAATCAATAAAGCGATGCTCTTACAATGCAAAACCTGATCCATCTTCTCCTTTTCTTCTAGTATGCAGAGCTACACATGCCAGAACTGCATATTCCTGTGACCTCTTTTACATTATTTTATTGCCCCTAGGAATCTAGACCTTCTATCCTGGGAGGTGTCCTAGAACGTTTTCCACGCTCTGCTCACAGAAAGGCTCTGTAACAGAAAGGCTCGCCTACGTCCGGTGGCCATTGCTGGCCAGTGAGCTCAGGTACTCACACCTCTGAGATGCTGCTGCCTTCCTGAGATGATGGAGGCTGCCAGTTGTGGTATCCACTCCCTCACCTCTCTTTCATCAGATGTTCTCAGGTCTCTGACTTGGCCATCTAAAGATGTACTGTATTGAGAAGGCGAGAGGTGAGTCTAGGCAGACAGTGGTGATCTTGCACTTCCTGTGGATCAAATAGCACCTCTGTCTGACGCAAAAACTAGTTTTCCAGGCCCACACACACACACTTTGGAGGAATCTTCTCAGCCAGTGGGGCCACAGCTGTGGCAACTGATACTGGAACTCAGCCACCATCTTATGCTCAAGTGCTTCTAGACCAAAACTGCACCGGAGTCTTTCCAGTGGCCCTAGTGTAATAGTAACCTCTGATTTGTAGGAAATGCTGTAGCAGCTACACATAGCCTGTGCTCAGGGAATAGGGGAGATGAGAGATCTTCTCCCAGTTTCACGTGGGTAGGAACAGCACAGAAGAGATTTGCTTGGGCAAGTGCAGGACCACAGCAAGGAGTGTCTTAAGTCCTCTGCCTGTGACACCAAGCAATCCTCAAAAGGTAGAAAGAGAAGCCACCTTGGCAGATAGGGGCAAATATTAATACTATATTAATTAGCTAGGCAGAATTTCGTGTAAGTTCAGACTGGTAGGGCAAGCTCAGTTTTGTTTGCAACTCCTAAGTCACTTTGGCTCATAGCTCATCGTCCAAAAGATTATCCTCAGTCAGAGTTTCCCTGCACCAGTTATTACAGCTGTGTGCTAACCAAGTGAGCCTGTAGAGCGATCAGCCTCATCCCAGAACAAACATCCTCCCCAGAAAGGCTCTCAGGAAAGCTACTTTAAACATAAGGTAGTTGAAGACTTGCAATTTGATTAAATTCTTCCTTGTGATATAGCTCAACACATTTTTTTTTTTTTAAGGAGAAAGGGGCAGTCAACTTAGAATTTGTGTTCTTCCAGATTTTGACCTACCTCACACCATTCCTTTCCCAGCTGAGAAATACTGAAGTATTTTTGACAAGGGGAAATAAAGAATTCCATTTTCATTTGAAAGGTCTCTGCCTTATTCAGTTCCTCTCCTAAAAGAATTTCTTAAGAAGGAAGTTGTAAAGCGGTTGTGAGAGCTACCCCCCTGTGGTTTAAGCTAATAAAGGAACAGCATAGGCAGGAAAGGCCACCTTACTGTTTCTGCAATGTATGTTAACTACTTTGAGAAAGCTATTGCTTTATATCAACATTTCTCTGGTTGTTACCCACTGATCCCCGTCCACAGACAACACAGAAGGAAATATGCAATTCAAAAATTTAATGTTGGACAAGGCAGTAAGAATGAAAAGTCCACTCCCTAAGAGGAGCAACTATACACAAAATAAATAAGTTACAGTTTAAACAAAAGCACAACTGGCTTTTTAAAGTGCATCTGTATAAGGCCCTTAAGGCTGTGAACTCCATTGACTCAATATTTAAAAAAAAAATTCTATATATAAATCTGCCATGTGTTTAAGAATGAAGAAGGTCTGGCTCAGCTCAGAACAAGCCCCCAGCTTCATTGCCTGGAGCCAGCCATGCTTCACACCTTTTCTGCCTACTGCACACAGGAGAGAGAGAGATGGCTTAGAATGGCTTCCGCAACAGCTATCACTCCAACTCCACGCTCATTCCTCAGAAGCTCCCTATTGGACTATTTAGTCTGGAGAGTACTTTTTTCAGACCATAAAAAAGTTGTTTGTAATTAGATATGCTTACACCCTGCAGACAACAGTTTTTCATACAAAGAATCTGGTCAAGTTGTCAGCGGTAACATGGCTAGTAAAAAAATAAAGGAACATTGTTTACAGTTTTGATGCTCAGTCCTGTCCACCTACTTTACACTTATTTTTAACAGAACAATTTCATGTTTGCTTATTTGTTTTGAAATACGAGGGGGGAAAAAAAAGTTCTACCGTGCAATAGAATTAAACACATACATCATGCTGTGTCCTTCATTCACGTGAGAACAAGACCTAAGTGGTTACTTCTGAACAGTGACCTGAGGTTCAGGGCGTTTCCCTGCTCAAGTACAAGTTGAGTTACAGCTAAAAGGTTGTTTCTACACAAATGAAAGCCAAATCTGTCCAACTGGGATAAAGACAAACAGTTTCATTTACTGAAAAGTTCATTTTCCAAAGGAAAATACCTGTTCTGCAAGTAACATCCTAGAACTATTTTTCAAGAGTTTTTGTGTTTGTTTGGTTTTTTTTTTCCTTTTCCAATCTGACATTGTTCCTTTTTTAAGCAACTGCTTAGATACTTCTAAAGCCATGTAAAAGGCTACTCAAACTATCCTCCTCCTTTCACATGCCTTGGACTCTTGATGTGCCAGTGTTAAATACCCAAGGTTTCAATCTCAGGCAAAAATGTCAGGTAGACCAAGGGCACCACTGTCAAACAGAAGTGACAGTCCTCACTTTGGCAGACAAAGCTTGCTTAAACCTTCTCTTCAGATCCTGCATGTTGGGTGATTTTGGCCGTGGAATAAGAGAGGTTCTCCTCCTCTCAGGGGTGCTGGTTATTTGCTGTTTACTGACTTCTTTACAGAGGAGATGGAAGGCATTGAAGACGTTGTTATAGTTTTCACTGACAGATACTTCATAGAAAGTACAGCCCAGCATATTGGCCAGCTGAAGTCCCTGCTGAGGCTCCACCTCTTTGATATGCAAGAGATCGGCTTTGTTTGCAACGATAACAACAGGGACCGCGTTCCCTGGATGCAGCTGTCGAACGTAATGGTAAAGGTGACTGAGTAGCTCAAAGCTCTTGTAGTCTGTGATGGAGAAGACAATCACTAGGGCATCTGCCCAGCGAATGCATCTGTTCAGCTGCTCATTGCAATCCAGACTGTGCTCATGGATCTGAAAAATGAGTGGTCACAAGTTAGAGAGCTGCAGTCATAAAAGATTAAAGGAACCTGTCTTCAGGAGTCTGGAAGGCCAAATAGCATTTTACAGCTTCAGACACATATATTTGCATTTCACGTTGTAAGTATGAACTTAATCTGAGCATAGCGAATAAATGCAGATGTTGATTCAGCTGCAAAAAGCTGGAATTTAACACTGGAGTTTGCTATACTCAAATGGAAAATTGACCTGAGTAGTTCTGCATGCAGAGAAAGACTTTGTAGTTCCACAGAATGGGAAATTAACTGGCTAGACAGTAAGTCTGGGGAAGCAAAGATATGAGCTGGAAGCATTTAGACCTGGAGTGTTGCCCAGTTCAAAAAGGCAACAATCCAGCATTACTCAGGTCTATATATTCAAAACTTTAACTTTTGACACACTAATGAGCACAGCCACAATGTAGCAGACTTTGCTTTCTGTCATACACATTTATGAAGCTTGTTGGGCAGTAGTCCTGACATTTTTTTCCACATGTACCTTATTTGCACAAAATTGTTTCTGGGTTTGTGCCTAATGTTCCCAATATGCAGGAACAGACACTTCAGTAATTCATCCACTCAGAAGTAATGGGTCTCCAATGAACAAATAATTCATCAAAACAGTGAGTTGTTTTCTTTTACTGCCACCACACTGCAGGCACCCAACACAGCTGATTTGACTGGTTAAAACACAAGTTATCGCCTCTCCCACACAGAACACCAAACACCAAAATGGACAGCAAAATATTTCTAGAAAGACCTTAACAAGATGCTGCACAGAAGGACACAAGCACATAAACACTTAGAGCTACTCTGGTAAACTGCATGGTTGCATCTAGCTCACCTGAACTCCTGGAGTATCTTGCACTTGGATGGCCAACATCTCTCCATCTATCTGGATGTGCCTGCTGTAGAGATTACCTGACAAGAACACCAACAGGTTCACAAATACAGCCACCACACTGTAGACAAATGTTCCTTCTGCTGCCCATTAGTTGTGTAGAGAAAGTTGTATTGCCACTCACGAAGCAAGAAACCAGTGTTATAAGCTTCTGTGGTTAGCAACATTTATGATGTTACTAGAAGCCTGGGATTGAATCTTGCATTGATTTGTTTGAAGCTTGGTATTTAATAATGTGCAACTTGGAACTTAAACACTTCTTAAAGACTATTTTGGCTTGGATGATAAAGGTTAAGAGCAAAATAACCAGCTTTTATTACACAGAAGAGCAGTTTGCTTGTCATTTTGTATTTACACATTTAGTGAAGCTCTCTTCTGGTTGGCCTGTAGGATTTGCTGGGTTGATTTGTTTGGTTTTCATTTGTTAGGCTTTTTCAAGTAATTTCCCCAACAGAATGCTACATATTTTACATCGGCATAAGTTTAGACTCCCCACTGTGCTCACTCATAACATCACCCCTCCATTTTCCCCTTTAAGCTGGCCTTGCCTAGCCCACGTAGATCCTGGTATTCAGTTTGCGAAGAACAGCACAACAGTAGGTTTACAGAATGTTTTCTCGTTTCAGCTAAAAGACTCCTTCAGAAAGGGGCGTTTTCACCACATAAAGCGAATTCTGTCAGAGACGAGGGCTGCAGTACAACCTATCCCTAGGGCTGCTGCGGTCACAAACCGCGTGTGGCTGTGCCTGGCGTGCCCCTTTCGGAGGGCAGCGAGAGCAGACCGAGTAGGGGAGCAGCTCTCAGAGGACACCCCGCGGCGGCTCGGGCCGAAGGCATCACCTGCCGGGTGCCCCCTCAGCCCCGGGGGACAGTTCGCTCTCCCTTTCCCACCTGTGACGCGGCTCCGCGCCGGGCTTTGCGCTCTCATTCCCAGCGCGGGCATCCCCGGGGAG